CGTACACACATTCAAACATATGTTTGTAAGTGTGAGCAGTTCACAAGATCGACCTAATGCAAATGCTGGGCTTTAAAATTGCTACAGGCAGCAAGAGCCTCGCACACAGGCATACAAATGCTCATAGTACATGTAGCAAGGGAGAGTGTGTGTGCATGCTCGTCGTGAAAAGTTTTTCATTATGCGCACCAACGTTTTCATACCCTTCCCACAAATAATAACGAAAACGCAAACATTCTGCACGAGCATGGCAAACGGCTTGAAAAGTTCGGAATACTCTTCACTCAAAAGGGAAGGCATAGGTTCTTGCTGCGACGAAATTTCAATTTTCGTGAGCTGCTGCTTGTGCTCACATGCAAACATACATATACACATTCGAGAGGGCAGAGAGCATCGAGAGAGAGAGCAAGGGAAACATTGAGCATAGAGGGATCTTTTGTTCAACATTTGACCATCACGGTCGAGCGCATGAAGCGAAATGATTGTGCGTTCGTATATTTTCGTAGCTCGAACCTAAAAGTAAAGAGCCGAGCGAATCCAAAGCTGTCTGGGGTGTTAAAGCCTCAGAAAAAGCGTGCAAAAAGCTTTCCACTAGTTGACTAGTCTATGTGTTCTCTGGTTAGTGATATAAGTCTACATTTAAAATTAAATAACTAGCTTTCGCTAGGGTTTTTAATCGATAGTAAAATATCGGGAGTTTTTCAATTTATTTCACTTTTTGTTATAACAGTAACCAGAGAACACATAGACTAGACATCTAGAATAAATTTTTTCAACGACGAAAAATGCGCTGAGGAGACTACACAACTTCGTATTTGCTCGGCTCAGTCTCTTGAAGCTCGAACAGTGAAATATTGCACGACAAAATCAGTGTGCTGCAAGCGCTTTCGATAAAGTTTTTAATCGATAGTAAAATATCGGGAGTTTTTCAATTTATTTCACTCTTTGTTATAACACTAACCAGAGAACACATAGACTAGACATCTAGAACAAATTTTTTCAACGAAGAAAAAATGCGCTGAGGAGACTACACAACTTTGTATTTGCTCGGCTCAGTCTCTTGAGGCTCGAACAGTGAAATATTGCACGACAAACGAAATGGTGCCATTTTTATATGAAGCACGGCTATGCGCTGTTTGTCCTACTCTCTCTCCCACTCTAACTCTCTCTATGGTCTCTCGAATAGCAGCAGCGCACAGAAATTGAAAATTTTTCGCGACGATCCCAGTATTCCTTTTGAGTGAAGGGTATACCGAAATCATAAAAGCGTTTGTCACGCTCATGCAAACAAAATGTAAGCGTTTCGATGGTTATTCGTGGGAAGGGTATGAAAGCGTTGATATGCATAAAGAATATGATTTCGCGAGGGGCAAGCACACACACACTTGCAGTCTCTGGAAACATGTGTGAGCATTTGTGGCCTGTGTGCGTAACTTTTGCTGCCTGAGCAAATTGTAATGTTCAAAATTGACCGTTCATTGGCCTTTGAGGGAGCACATACATATGTGTATGTATGTATGAGATGGGATGATAATTGTCTGGCGATTCAGTAGTTTGTCAATTTTGTATAGTTTGAATTGTAGAGGGACTGCCAAATGAGCCTTTATGACTTAATCAGTAATTTTGGCAATAAAGATCATTTTGCCGCTGGTTGGTTGGTCTTACGGACTGCCATATCCACTCCACGCAGATGTATATGTACATATTTACGTACATTTATATACTATTATATCTAATCATGTTTATAAATGCGTGTATTGATAAAAACTATTATAGTACATAATAATAAAACTTCATTTTGATATATTTAAGAAAATTTTCGACAAGAAGCCATTCATAGCAAAAATTAAAGAAACAAGACAGAACGTTGCAGTCGGGCGTTACCGACTGCGGAATACTCATTCACATCAACAATTTAGTAGTTAAGTTTCGCCCTAGTACTGTAGAAATACAGTTATTCCGATTTGCGATTTATATAAACAAACTAGTGCCGGAACAAACAAAAACTAAAATGGCAGTAAGTGAAGAAAATCTGAAAGCGCTGCTTGAGTATGCAGTAAACAGTGCATTAGAAAATCAAGCGCAAGTATTTGAAAGGAAAATGGAGGAAATGAGAAACGAGTTTAGAAACGCAAGAGTGTCCGTACCCAAGGTTGAAGTGTTTAAAGATGCGGAAATTATTGTAGGTATTAAATGTGACGAAACACTGGAAATAGTAAAATCAGTACCAGACTTTGAGGGAAAAATCGAGACTTATGTTTCGTGGCGGAAAGCCGCACACACTGCATATAAAATCTTTGAAAATTATGTAGGAAGCTCAAAGCATTATCAGGCACTGGGTATAATTAGGAATAAAATCAAAGGCCCTGCTGATATGGTACTGTCTTCATACGACACTCCACTGAATTTTAAAGCAATTATCAATAGGCTTGACTTTACATACGCCGATATACGCCCCATTTATATAATCGAGCAAGAGTTGTCCGTTCTACCCTGACAATAACCAAATATTATGAGGAAATTGAAAAGAAATTAACATTACTCATAAACAAAACAATTATGACTTACAATTCCACTTTGGCTGCTTCTCTAAACGAAAAATACAGAGCAGATGCATTGAGAGTCTTCATTTCAGGCGCAAAGAAATCTCTCAGTGACATTCTATTTTCAGCAAGGCCAAAAGATTTGCCATCAGCACTGGCACTTGCACAGGAAGTTGAATCTAATCATGAACGCTTCCAATTCGCTAGTAGTTTTGCTAGGAATAATGAAGAAAGAGCTCAGCGTCAGGAACAGAGACAGCAAAGGCAGCCCACTGTAGAAAGCGCCCCAAACCAAGTAAAATCTCCATTTTACAAACAAAAATCCCAAAACAATAGCCCGAATAAAAACAAGAACCACCACAACCTATGGACGTTGACGCTTCATCTCGGTTTAGGCAAACAACTCAATACCCGAATCAAGGCGGTTCCTACCAAAATCAGGTGCCAAAAAGAGCAAGTAGTGGAACAGCTAGAACGACCGGTCCCAAACAACAGAGAACTAATCATCTCTCACAAGATGAAAATTCTGAAGGTCAATCGGAACAAGAGTACCAAGCAGTAGCGGAGGCTGAGGTATCAGATTTGGAAGATGAGGATCAGATTCAAGAGGTCAATTTTTTAGAAATTGCTCCCTGTTACCGTTTGTAGAGCGAACGATAGCAGGTTCGCAGACACAAGCGCCTCAAAAAACTATATAAAACCAATCCCGGAACTTAAAAATGTAACCAAAGTTAAAGAAAAATTTTTAGTTAAGTCACTTCATGGCTTTAACGCCGTTCAAGAGAAATGTCTTATGCACCTTTTTGATACAACAACCACATTTTTTTTACTTCCCAGCTTATCAAGCTTTGATGGAATAATAGGACTTGATTTTTTAAAAAAGATTAACGCAAATCTAGATTTGAAAAACAACATCTTAAAAACAAATAATGGATCTGAAATAATTCAATACAAAACAAGTAAGAAAGCTCTAGACGAGACTGCTCGACTACGAGATCCCCTGAACCCTTGGAGCGATTTCAATAATTTTTCGCGTCTTTCTACTTACACAAGAAACACACAGGCATACATACAAACACACACACATATACCCACACAACATACACACACACATACACAAACACATACACACACAAGCACCCACGCATAAACACGCATGGGATGCAGTGTGCGCTTACTATGAGAACTTAATTGTTTAAAAACTTTTTTTGTGGACATACGATCTTGATGAAACTTTTAAATTATGATTATAACATGAATGTGCCAAAGCACAAGACTCTAGCATTTGAAATACGCTTTTTACAAAAGTGAGGGTGAGGGGGTGGATATAAAGGTGGGGAGTAAATTTTATCAAAAACCGAAATCGTATAAATTGCATATAAGCATACATAAAAAATTTTGAGACTCTAGCAATAAAGGTGTAGGAGATATAATTTTATAACTGGTTTTCGATAAGGTTTTTTATTGATAAAAAAAAGATCGGGATGAGTTATCGATTTTTAATGATAAACTTGATATCCGCGCTGTAATTACGGACATTTAAAAAAATTTGAAGTCTCTAGCTCTTATATCTTCTGAAATCGACGCGTTCAAACATACGGACAGACAGACAGACGGACAGGGCTAAATCGACTCAGCTCGTCGCCCTGATCAAGAATATATATACTTTGTGGGGTCTGCCACGCCTCCTTCTGCCTGTTACATACATTTCAACAAAACCGTTATACCCTGATTTCCCATTGAAAATGGGTTCAGGGTATAAAAAGCCCAAATGTTAACTTTACTGAAGTAGAAAATATAAAAGTTCCGCAAGAAATTGAAAAAGAATTTAAGAAAATGTTACAAGAAACAAGTAAGAAAGCTCTAGTCGAGACTGCTTGACTACGAGATCCTCTGAACCCTTGGAGTAATAGATATTTCAATAATTTTTCGCGTCTTTCAGCAACAACTTTGTCATTTCAATACATAAATTCATTCGAAATAATGAAGCGCATTTTTGGCTATGTTCATAAATTCATCCGGAAAATAAAATCACCTGAGTTATCATCAGCCGATCTGCGTCAAGGATCGTTCCTATTATGTCGTCTTGTTCAAAGAGCTCAGTTGCAACCGGAATACTCTGCCCTACAGAATGGAAAGAATATACACTCGTCAAGCGCCATTCTTTCGCTATTTCCGTTTATGGATGATTTTGGATTACTAAGAGTTGGTGGTCGTTTAGGACACACCACTCTCGGCTTCGATGCGCGCCACCCAATCATCTTACCCAAAAACCATCCCTTAACCTTCGCTATAATCTCCCATCTTCATCAAAAGCATCATCATGCTGGACCGCAAGTTTTGCTTGGAGCAATTCGACTGCAGTTTTGGCCCATAGGCGGCAGGAAAACTGTTGCACGAGCATTGCGAAAATGTATAATTTGCTGCAAATCCCGACCTCGCCTTGTTGAGCATATAATGGCGGATTTGCCTAAGGAGCGTGCACAGTGCTCACCAGCATTCACAATCACTGGAGTGGACTATTGTGGTCCTTTTTACTACAAGCCCGATAGACGAAATAGAGCATCATTCAAATGCTACATCTGCGTGTTCGTTTGCTTCACAACCAAGGCCGTATGGCTGGAGCTCGCCAAGGATCTGTCGACAGCTGCTTTCTTAGGCGCCCTCAAGCGTTTCATTAGCACGCGTGGGATTCCAAAATGCATTTGGTCAGACAACGCAACCAACTTTGTGGGTGCACGGAACGAGTTGGCGGATCTGAGGCGTTTATTGTTGAGTCAGGAACATCGCAATGAAGTTCACAAGTACTGCATGAACAACAGCTTCGATTGGAAGTTCATACCTCCTCGCCACATTTTGGCGGCCTTTGGGAGGCAGCTGTTAAGACCGCTAAAAAGCACTTATATCGCTCTATGGGATCGGCACTTTTTGGCTTCAACGAACTGCGCACATTGGTGTGCCAAATTCAGGCTATAATCAATTCTCGTCCTCTTGTTCCAATTTCAGAAAATCTTGATGATCTTGTCGTTCTCACTCCAGGACATTTCTTGATTGGCCGACCACTCATCGGCTTCCCCGAACCTGACATTCTTGCATCGACTGCAGCCTCGATCGGTGGCAACGTATGACATACATACAGCAGTTGTTCTGGAAACGCTGGAGTGAGGAATACCTCATTATTCTACAGCAGCGTGGAAAATGGCGCACCCCACGGCCTTCTGTCAAAATCAACGATGTCGTCTGCGTGAAAGACGAAAACCTGCCACCTTTGAAGTGGCCACTGCCCGGGTTGTTGAAGTTATTGCTGGAGCTGATGGAGCCGTGAGAGTTGCTGTTCTGCGTACACCCACTGGAACTACACGTCGAGCTGTCAATAAGCTGTGCGTCCTTCCGGTTGATGATCCTGTTAAAAGTCATGGTCTTTTAACGGGGGGGAGGATGTTCGACGCAGCACCTTTTAATAGTTTATAAGTTTCTCTTAAGTTAATCTCTTGCCTTTGTCATTCTCATGAATGACTAAACAGCTACTAAACAGCTAAACCACAACAGCTACCACAGACTCGGCATTAAATTAATAAATAATAAGCTAAATTAAATCGTATTGGCTTTTATTTGTGCCTTCGTAAACGATTGGAGCCAGCGTTGCCGAAAAAGCTCTGCAGCTTCAAACACATACATTAAAAAGAAAAACAAAAAAGAAAACCATTTTATCCTGATTACCCATTGAAAATGGGTTCAGGGTATAAAAAGGAGCCTTGTTCGCCTTTCATTTAAAGTTTTTCCAGAAGAGGAGAATACTCGCTCGCTTGTTGCACAGCTTACCCGAATACATAAAATATTTTTTGCCACAATTTAAGGTCCGTTGCCTCCTGCCAAAAATCTAAGATTGACAAGTTTGAATTATAGCGTGTGGCATAATGTTTATCAATTTCTAAGTCAATTGAATTTTTGCCAGGTTCGTCAAGTTTTCTTTTTATACCCTGAACCCATTTTCAATGGGAAATCAGGGTATAATGGTTTTGTTGAAATGTATGTAACAGGCAGAAGAAGGCATGGCAGACCCCACAAAGTATATATATTCTTGATCAAGGCGTCGAGCTGAGTCGATTTGGCTCTGTCCGTCTGTCTGTCTGTCCACCACTCCCACTCCTCTGAACCTCTCAGCGAGCCTCTCGCTGATGAAGCTACTCGAGGCTCCCGTATCAATCGGGGCCTTCTGCTGTGAGACTCCAATGGCCACGATCGCCGTCAGCCGGCTGCTTTCGTCCTGAAGACTACCCATGAATACCTGGGGGCTCCTGGCTGCTGCTCCCGCTCGCCCCTGGATGGCGGGTGCCGCTGCTTGTTTCCCGACTGGCAGCAGCTAGCAGTTCGCACTTCGATACGCCTACACTGCCAGCAGAAGTCCAGCGCCCTGTTGCGGTACGTAAAAGCGCGATGCCCTTCTTGGCCACACATTCGGCAAGCCCTGGCAGGATTTGGAATGTGCGTCCTTGGTCCTGATGCGCCTGTCCTCGACGCAGGAGAACGCTTCGCCTCATCATCCATGCGACGATACTCCACGTTGTGGCCGTGGCTGCTGCCGCAAGTTCTCCCGATCTTTTTCCAGCTCCTCGAACTCGTCTGCCAGGTGCATCAATTCCACCAGAGTCCGGAATTGATACGGGCGGGCGTAGGCACGGAGATCGGGTAGGCTGTTGTTGTAGATGCTTCATCTCGCGGTGTGCTCCATAGCGCAGGGGCATGAGAATCTGCATCTCAACCATGTAGACCTTGAAGCTCTCATCTACCATTTGCCTCCGGCGTTTTATGTCGTCCTCCAGCTTCTCCAGATAGCCTCTGGGCAAGAAGAACTCCTGGAAGTTGCGCACAAACGTCGCCCACGCCGTCCAGTGTCGGTTGTTGGCCACATACCACTTCAAGGCCATGCCTTTCAGCAGCTCTGGCATCGCCCTCGGGATCATGTCCAACTCCAAACCATATGTTTCAGCCGACCACTCCACTTGCTCCAGGAACTCCAAAAGCTTTGTAATGCCATCAAAGCGGAAGCTCCACTCCGTCACTTGTTTGGCGTCACTTGTTTGGTGGATGTGGCTCTCATCTCACCTGGCCGCGTATCTTGCAGGCGCGCAGCTGCGCTAGTGGAGGGCACACACAGCCGCGCCACATGCGCAACCTCTGCCTTCAGATCGTCCTCACTCCGAACTCGTCACCATAACGCAGCACTTCATCCTTTTTCAAGTTATATACCCACGCTCGCACCATTGTCACAAATGTTAATTAAACTCTTATCGCAGGGCCCTACGTTGGGCGGCAGTTGAAACGAACCTTCAGTTTATCCCGAGTCTAAGCTGAGCTAGTTTCAGCTGACTGTGGATTCGTGCCAACAAATTTATTTGTTGAAGCCCCTGCGATATTAATTAGTCACTTGTGATTTACAGTTTATAGCGTAAAGTAAATTTTCTTGAATATAAGTTTGAAAATTTACACGTCACTTATTTTATGATTCCATGCTGGTTCGCTTTAGCAAGGCACTCCGGCTGAGTGCTGGTTCAACGCACTCCGGCTGGGAGAGTGTTGTGCTAAGACACGCTAGTTTCAATTGAACGATTTGGAAAACGCCAGGATTTGGGTTTGTGAACTCCGGCGGTTCGCTCGGCTATACAGACCTCTCCTACTATTCCACTCGCTCACAGCAAAACACTAGCTTCGTTTCACTCACACCACTTCTCTTACGCACGGCTACGTGAATTTACTCAGATATGCAGGCCTCGCTTAAGCTGCTGGGCTGAACCTTGTCCTTGTTGGTGCCGCTGACGATCCTGCTTGCCTCTTTAGTCGTCGCAAGGATTCTCACTGGATGTCCCTGCTGTTCCCACGATGCCCTTGCTGTTCCCACGATGTCCTGGGAGTCCTGATCTGCCACTCGCGTTGACTTTCACTTTACGGTTTTACTCTGGCACTTTTGTCACTCTGACTTTCACTCTTAATAATCACTTTTCTGACCTCTCTCTGACCCCGTATGGAGCTGCCGGGTGTCTTTTATATAGCCCAGTCACAGGCCCTGCTTCGGGGGGCCTGTTCGGCTCTGGAGCGGGGCCTTTCTGCCGTTAGTGCCCATAAAAACGGTAAAGTGGCGTGATCTGGGTACGCCACTTTCCCGCCAAATTGCGTGGCAGCCTCCCATTGGCCGAAGTACCGTTGGTGCCCTGCGAGTGAAAGTATCCACTACCATCACCCGGCCCGAACGGCACCTCGGCTAACGGTCCTCGATGATCGACGTGCGTGCGACGCGAGCCCATTGCTGAATCTGTAGGAGCGAAAGAGGTCGACTATAGTCGGACCTTGACCCCTTTCCATTTGCGAGGGTCGCTCCTACAGTACTCGCGTCGCTGTGTGGAGCAACATGTATATGCACATATATGCATATAAACGCACAGCAACTACGTACGTTAATATACATTGATACGTGCATACCAATATTGCTCCTCACAAAGGGAACACAGACGTATCTAAGGACAAGTTAAACAATTTGAGTAATTGTGACTGAAGAGAAACACTGCACTCTTTAATCACACAACTAGGAATATTATCGGCACCGGGAGAGAAAGTCTTTGTTCTGGTCTTTGCAAGTTTTTTCACCACCAAGGACAAATGAGGACGGCGAACCAGAAGATTTACGCTTCAAGTTAGCAAATGAGTAAAATTGTTTAGGATCTCAAGAAAACTGACGTTTGCAACGTATAAGATAATTCTCATAACGAGAATTTAAAAGATTGAAATTTGACTTGGCAATGGAATATTTAGACCAGTCAACACTTGAACCAGACTTTTTATAATTTTTTAAACATTTAGTTTTAATGTTTCTTTAAGTCGAAAGAGTCTTGGTAAACCAAGGTGGCTTATTTGAAACTGGCGAAATACGGCAGAGTTTAAGGTGGTATAAAAAAACGATGCTGCTAAATTAATATCAACTGACTCATATAAAATAGACCAGTCTGTTGAATTAATTAATTCATTGCAAAGCAAATTGCATTTACGATAACAGCGACTAAGTTTAGAAGGCAAAGGAGTATTAGTGTGAGGATTATCAACAGTTAATAAAACCTCTAAAGTGGGGTGATGTATATCCTCTGATAAGCAGGAGTTGATCTCACGATATTAATGAGCGAATCATGATTAACAAACATAAGATCTAGAGTGCGATTTAGATGATATTTCCCGAAATGGGCTCCGGCCCAGATGGTCACCCTAATATATATTCTTGATCAAGACGACGAGCTGGGTCGATATAGCCCTGTCCGTCTGTCCGCCCGTCCGTATGAGCAAGCCGATCTCAAAAGATACAAGAGCTAGAGAGCTGAAATTTTTCATGTCTATACCATAGGCAATACAATTTTATCTAATTTTTTCGATAACCAATCCGATAATCTTTTTATCGGGAATAATCGAAAAATAGACATTGTTTTTTCAGCCTAATTTGAACACTTTTAAACCTGGAAACTTAAGATTTACTGTGTATATAAAGTTGATGGATACGAAGATTTCGTCATTTACAGATTTTGGATACCACGCCACCTTCGCCCCAAATTTGTAAATAATGTATTTAAAATACTAGAGCTGTGCTTTGGAATATACACACATTTTAGCCACATGATCACGCTCTGAAAGTTCATAAAGATAGTCTATCTACAAGAGAAATTATTCAACTAACAAATTCTTATAATATTGCCCACAGGGCAGCCCAAGCGCTGTCGCTGCTAACTGCGCAGTCAGTAGAGCGCGTGATATACGTGCGTGTGGATGCGTGTGTATGCATGTGTGCATAAAAGAAGTGCAGAATGATTAGAATATCAACTTGGAGGATTCAGGGTATCTCCGAGTCGAGCAGTCTCGACTGAAGCATTCATACTTGTTTTAATATCAAATTACTATCTATCGCTGACCTTGCTTTGATTTTGAATTCCGCTACGCACATCTTTGTATACGTGATCATTTTCATATCAGTACAAAAAATATCACAGTTACCGCTTGATTAAGCACATATTGATTTTCAATCATATAAAAGATGTTCGTTCAAAATTATTTCTAGTTAGTCTCTCGATTGATATTATTCAAGCAAAAATAGGCGCTGACCTAGTCGCCAGAAATAAAAGGTTGAAAGCGTGTGCCCTCATTATAGTTGGGATTTTTTAGATCAGCAGTTATTGATAAATATTATCATAAGTTCTCTACTGGCCTACTAAGTCTCAATATAATGGGAGTAAACACCTCAGTTCAATTAATTTAATTTTAAAATAAATTCAAAACTTTAAGTGAATAAGATATCCCATTGTAATTGTAATCTAAGCGTTGATCAAATATTGTGTTAAAACAAAATTTTTGAGTTGAAAAAATATTTGTATTATTTTATAATCTTATAAAAATGCAAAATATTTAAGAAATGTAAAGTTTTTTTTGTATTATGACATAGTTTTCCAAAAATATCCACAGTGGTCTTATTATCGGCAATAATAGAAAAATTGTTGTCAAAAGTACATAGTATAAGTCGATTAATAAGCAAAAACGAAAGTAGATTTTACGGAATATAATTATAACTAAAGTAACTAGCTTAAGGGAAATATAACATCAGCTTTAATAGATCCAGAATTATGAACAACTGACACGCATAAGCGTTCATTGTAGCTCAAATCAAGTAGTAACTAAAAAATAGAGATTATATGAAAATATTATTATATTTTACAATATAATACTTACCTTCGGGGTAACGAAAAGATATTGCGCCGACCCATCCTTCGTAGCCTCCTTTAAAAGTAAATTAAAAATGTGACGCTCGTTTTTAGCGTCCATACCTTGATTAATCTCATCAACGCATCTAGAAAATATAAATATTATGTAAGATTATTTAGAGATGCTATCTAAAAAGCTGTATTTTATCGACACTCAAATTTCTTACATAGTTTGTTATTAATATGTAGGCATCTTATGAATTTGGCAATGTAATCGGTATATTTTTAAACCATTGAAATCACAAAAATATGGGTAAAAAATATTCAATGGTTCACAACTTATTTCAACCAGCATCTAAAAAACAAGTCAGAAATCTCTAGTCGAAACTGCTCAACTACTTTATACTCATTGTGTATATACATTTAATGGACCCAAAGATTTTGTAATTTACAGATTTTGAATCACGCCCCCTTCGCCCCCAATTTGTAAAAAACGCATTTCAAGTACTAGAAACTTCTTCTCTTCTCATAATATTACCCACACTGCAGTGCAGCCCAAGCGTAGTCGCTGCTAACTGCGCAGTTAGTAGAGCGCGTGGTTATGCGAGAGTTAGAGATAGAGAATACAGAAGAAAAATTGTATACATTCGTAAAATTCCAATTACATTAAAAAAATTAAATTTTATAGTAAAAATAAAAATAATATGATAATATAATAATAAATAAATATATAAATAATAATAAATAAATAAAATTGTTACTATATATATACAATTCTACAGATAGATTGCACATATTGAGGAAACACACCACACTTTTAAGTTACTAAAACAAAAATTTTTGTTATATATTGTAGCATGTTCCATATTATCAAGTGACCACTGTACTCAGTGAAACACTTTAAAATATTATTAATATATTGTATCACTTTGTTACAATATTTATGCACATAACATTCGAGTGCAAAGAACTTTAAGTACATTGCTGACTAGGCAGATCTTACAGCGCAAGACCCCGTCGCAATAAGTAATATGATACATCCTCGCTTACCCGCTGCGGCGGCATACATATAAACATATGTAAACATTATATACATACATATACACTTTTATATGCATATACATTTATGCATTTATACATTAATACACATAAACACTTTTACACATATAAACATATATACATAAGCGGACCGCTGCTCTGCCGGCTTCACTGGCAGCGGTGCCAACCGATTTTAGCTGTACGTGACAATTGTCTTAGAATTAAGAAATTATTCAATAAAGGAACTAAAAACTCAATGGTCGACTTTTCATTCAGTTCCTCTAATATCACATGGCGACCGTGACTCGAATCTGCAATCTTCAGTCAGGCGCACAGTGAAAAAAAAGTTTAAAAGTGTTTAACGACAACAAGAAAAACAACAACAGCGACAGCAGCAACAACAACAATATGAACAACGTGGGACATCGCAGATACCAACGGACGGCAGCATAAAAAGAAAAAAAAAAGAGAACAAGAAATTGGAAAATCTGAGTTAGTAGAGGTTAATGAGTGAAGGTCAAAGAAAGAAAGCCGGAAGAAGCGGCTTGAGAGTACGCCTGCAGAAAAGAAAAGCAGAAATCTTAAAACTATTGTTCGCCACCAACCCACCACTACGTTGGCAGGCAACAATAGCTTTACAAAATGAGCTTGATCAAATACAGCAAGCACAAGGAAGCATAAAGACCAAAAACTCAACCTCTACCACTATATACAAACAGATTCCAATTATTAACAAAACTTCTAATACCAGGAATGCCACACTGCCGAAAGTCACCATAGACAAACCCAAGAAAAAGTGCCCAAATGACTGCGAGGGACCTCTAGGAAGTGCACATTGCCATTACACGTGCAAACACTGCACGGCAACCTGTGCGGTCAGCACCGGTACCGCCTGAGCTGATAGGCCCCGGACATCAGCAGCAGAAACAACAGCGTGAAAGGCAAACCGCCTTTCATGACATCGAGGGAACATCAGCGAGCCAACCGGTGACGACCAGCTGATGTTTTATTTTAAACAACACAACAACAACGAAGGAGATAGTTTAACTAAAAATAAAAAAAATAAAAAAAAAATTTTTTTTTGCACTGCGATGCATACACAAAATTAATCTTAAGAAATATTGTAAAGCGGAAGCGATAATTGCATTGCCCGCTAGCGTATGGCCCGTGAAGCCATACAACAAATAGGTAGGAAGATCACTGCGATGATCGAGTAGGGAAAATAGGTTAAAAACAATATATAACAATATTTATATGCATATGAAAAAAAAATATATATATATATATAAATTTATAATTATTATAAAAAAAAAAAAAAAAAACAAGTAAGAAAGCTCTAGTCGAGACTACTCGACTACGGGATCCCCTGAACCCTTGGAGTAATAGATATTTCAATAATTTTTCACGTCTTTCAGCTTACACAAGAAACACACACACACACACACACACACGCACGCACGCACACACAGGCATACATTCACACACATACATACACACACATACACACACACACACACACACACACACACACACACATACACAAACAATTACATACATATACACACACAAGCATAAACACGCATGGGCGGCAGTGAGCGCTTACTATGAGAACTTAATTGTTTAATAACTTTTTTTGTGGACGTACGATCTTCATGAAACTTTCAGATTATGATTATAACATAGATATGCATGTAATTTCCAAAGCACAAGTCTCTAGTAGTTGAAATACGCTTTTTACAAAAGTGAGGGTGAGGGGGTGAATTTAAGGGTGGGGGGTAAATTTTAACAAAAACCGAAATTGTATAAATTGCATATAAGCATACATTAAAAATTTGGAGACTCTAGCAATAAAGGTGTAGAAGATATAATTTTCTAACTGGTTTTCGATAAGGTTTTTTATCGATAAAAAAAGATCGGGATGAGTTATCGATTTTTAATGATAAACTTGATATGCGCGCTGTAATTACGGACATTTAAAAAAAAATTTGAAGTCTCTAGCTCTTATATCTTCTGAAATCGACGCGTTCATACATACGGACAGACGGACGGACGGACAGACGGACAGGGCCAAATCAACTCAGCTCGTCGCCCTGATCAAGAATATATATACTTTGTGGGGTCTGCCACGCCTCCTTCTGCCTGTTACATACATTTCAACAAAACCATTATACCCTGATTTCCCATTGAAAATGGGTTCAGGGTATAACAAGTAAGAAAGCTCTAGTCGAGACTGCTCGACTACGAGATATTTCAATACTTTTTCGCGACTTTCAGCTTACACAAGAAACACGCACACACACACACACGTACGCAAACACAGGCATACATACACACACACGCATACATACACAAACGCATACACACACACACATACACACACACATACACAAACACATACACACACAAGCAACCACGCATAAACACGCATGGGCTGCAGTGTGCGCTTACTATGAGAACTTAATTGTTTAATAACTTTTTTTATGGACGTACGATCTTCATGAAACTTTTAGATTATGATTATAACATGAATATGCATGTAATTGCCAAAGCACAAGTCTCTAGTATTTGAAATACGCTTTTTACAAAAGTGAGGGTGAGGGGGAGAATTTAGAGGTGGGGGGTAAATTTTAACAAAAACCGAAATTGTATAAATTGCATATAAGCATACATTTAAAATTTGGAGTCTCTAGCAATAAAGGTGTAGAAGATATAATTTTATAACTGGGTTTCGATAAGGTTTTTTATCGATAAAAAAAGATCGAGATGAGTTATCGATTTTTAATGATAAACTTGATATGCGCGCTGTAATTACGGACATTTAAAAAAAATTTGAAGTCTCTAGCTCTTATATCTTCTGAAATCGACGCGTTCATACATACGGACAGACGGACAGACGGACAGACAGACGGACAGGGCCAAATCAACTCAGCTCGTCACCCTGATCAAGAATATTTATACTTTGTGGGGTCTGCCACGCCTCCTTCTCCCTGTTACATACATTTCAACAAAACCATTATACCTTGATTTCCCATTGAAAATGGGTTCAGGGTATAAAAAATGGAAATTTTCAAAATAAAACCACATACTACACATATGTTATATGTTCAATAATAAAATAAGTAAATTTGATGATATATTTTATACCAATATGGGTCTAATTGAGACAAAGACAGTGGACTCCACTGCAAATGTAATTAACAAAATAGAGTCTTAAAATTCAGATTTAAAGATAACAAATGTACTTTTATTGATAATTGTAGTAATTATGAGCGCATATGTATTGTATAAAGCATACAAGTTACACAATAAATGTGTAACAAAAGGAGCCTTAAGCCATGCTAATGATCTAGATAAAATCTAAGCTACATATACGCCAACTATTATAATACAAAAAAAAAAAAAAATATAATAAATAATAAACTCATGATCAAAAAAATGATAGCAAAAATTAATGCAATTTACAATAGAGAACCTAATTCTAGACTAAACGCATTTAGAATACTACAAAGGCATCTTGATTTCATTACAATTTTCGAATTCGAAAATGAGTACATAGAAGCTTTTGATAGTATAGCAAGCCCACTGTTCGGCTTACTCCAGATAGAAAAGGGTATAGCGTTAAGCACATTACCTTACGTAATGGTCAAAACTGTAGACGAGATACATCCGATACTTGGTTCAGCAACCATAGTACTCGTGAAACAACATCGCTAAATGCAAATTAAAATATAACAGCCATATAATAAGTTCGTTTTCAAGAATACATTTCCATTAAAGAATGAAATGGAACGAAATTGCGAAAAACATAGACGCATTTCGTTAAAGGTTTGAATAATCATATAAGTGCATCAATAAAGATGCAGTTATAAAAACAAACACTTTAATTCACCACATAGATATCATTGTGACAGAATACAATAATATCATAATAACGGTAAATAAACACGAAAACACAAGACTAAGTTCTGTCGCTAATAGGCGACATATTCAAATAAATGTGCCAAGTAGTCTAAATCTATTAGCGGACTTTGATCCAAGCCAATTAAAAGACTTAGACGAATCCATACAGTCAAGCGACACCGAATTTGATAGTGATATTGAAACACTAGAAGAAACAATTAATATAAAAAATTATAAACCAAATACAAACAAGGCAAATAAGGTCGCATTAGACAGGGAATATGTGAAGCAGGTTTCCTCTTCAGTCCCTGAATTCGATGGTAAAAAGTTATCATTTTCTTTTCGTTCTTAACAGCTTTGAGGCTTGTTGAAAGAACTAAAGGCGATCAAGAGGATATAGCGGTTGAGGTTATTAAAGCAAAAATAACCGGAACAATCTTGTACAAAGTACAACACGAAACCACTATATCCGGAATTATCAATAAACTAAAAGATACTGTCAAAGGGGAATCGACCGATGTTTTAAAAGCCAAATTGTTAAACATAAAACAAAAAGGCAAAACAGCATTCCAGTACACTGCTGAAATTGATAACTTGCGAAAGCAGTTAGAAGCAGCTTATATTGACGATGGTCTAGACCCCGACAATGCAGAAAAATTCTCAACGAAAGAGTCTATTACAATGACTAAGAACTGCGAGCATGAGAAACTGAGAATAATTCTAGAAGCAGGAAACTTCGTCACTTTCAACGATGTGATGGGTAAATATATCCATTGCAGCACTGAAATGACTGGAAGCGCCAGCACAGTATTATTCCAGCAAAGCCGCAATAATAGAGGAGGTGGTTACCGATACCAAAGAGGTAAAAACAAAAGCCGCGGTAACTACAACTCCAACAATAACAATAACAATTACAGAAATAATGGTAGAGGCCGAGGTTACAATTGAGGAAGATATAATTCCAACCGAGGCAACAACCAAAACTACCATAATAATAATAATAATAATTATGGCAATAACCATGTCCGAGTTACCCAAAGCAATTCGGGAAACGGACAGAATCCTACAGATACTCAGAGCAATTAAACAAAAAAATATATATACTCAATCTCAGTTTTAGCATCTTTATAAAAATTAATAACGAAAATACAGGAAAAGTTTATACACTACTAATAGACACAGGTGCAGATATATCAATTTTAAAAGAAAATATTGATATATTTGATAATGTAAATAACAACATTTCAACACAAATATCAGGCATTGGTGAAGGTTCAGTTTTTTTCAAAAGGTTTAGCATTCGTAGAATTATCTACAGGCAAACATGTAATACCACATAATTTCCACTTAGTCGATAAAGACTTCTCAGTTCCAAGCAATGGCATTATCGGTATAGATTTCATTAAAAAATATAATTGCCAATTAGATTTCACACAATCAAGTGATTCTCTAATACTGAGGCCAAATAATCAAAATTATCAACTAGATATACAAATAGATATAAAAATGTAGCAGATATAAGTTTATTACTGGTTTTCGATAATGTTTTTAATCGATAACAAAATAACGGGGCAAGTTATCGATTTTTAAAGCAAAACTCGACATCCGCGTGGTATACACGCACATTTAAACAAAATTGAGGTCTCTAGCTCTTACATCTTCTGAAATCGACGCGTTCAAGCATACGGACAGACGGACAGGGCCAAATCAACTCAGCTCGTCGCCCTGATCAAGAATATATGTATATACTTTATGGGGTCTGCCACGCTTCCTTCTGCCTGTTACATTTGACAAACCCATTATACCCTGATTTCCCATTGAAAATGGGTTCAGGATATAAAAAGGAAATTAAATCCTTTTTAGGATTACTAGGCTATTACTATTTTGCTAACATTATAAAACCAATAACACAACAATTAAAGATCAAGAACTCTGTAAAGATTAGTAACGAATTTCTAAATGCATTTGATAAATGCAAAACCCTTCTCTGCAATGATCAAATTTTGCAATACCGATTTCAGTTTCAAGTTTCAGATTCAAGTTTCAAATAATATCAAAAAACCAATTTCTTTTACTAACAGAACCTGGACAGACACAGAATTAAACTATTCTATGGTCGAAAAAAAGATGCTGGCAATTATTTGGGCCACTAAACACTTCCGACCATACTTGTTTAATCAAAAATTCAAAATCGTTACGGATCATAGACCTTTTACCTGGTTAATGAATTTCTAAGAACCAAACCCAAAGTTAGTTCGATGGAATTTACTAGAGTATGACTACGAAATCTCATACAAAAAAGGTTCGGAAAACGTGGTAGCAGATGCCCTTAGCTGCATTACAGCAGAAATAAATACAAACGTCGCTGATACAACCAGGACGGAATATACTATACAAAAGACAGAGAAACTTATTAATGAATTTAACCCAAAAATAATATTCCAAAAAGATAGTAAACAACAACTATCAACAAAAACCCATTTTAATAAAAAATTAAGGAGGACTATCTCAGAAAGCATTTTCGAAAAGAATAAATTAGTACAAATTCTCGCAAAACTTCTAAAGTCGAACAAGACATATACTATTTTAGCACCGGACGACATTTTCAAAACAATCGAAGAGACCTTTTTAGAATACTTCATACTGACGAAAATGTACAAAGTAATAAGATGTACAAACAGTGGTAAAAGAATACCTCATAGGGGAATAGATGAAACAGTTGCTCATCTAAAAAGAAAAAATAGGAAAAAGTAGCTTCAAAAGTCATTAACAACTGCGATATCTGTCAGACTTTAAAATACGACCGTCAGCCCCAAAAATTAAAATACCAAGAAACAGAAATCCCTTCTTCACCCATGCACATTCTTTATATAGATCTCTATCCCATAAACTCAAAAATTATTCTAACGATCATTGACAAGATTTCTAAATTCGCCTCAGGCTACACAATCCCATCTCGGGATAGTCTCAATATCGGCAAGGCCGTTAGAAACTTCATGGCACTCTTTGGAGTTCCGCATGGCACTCTTTTCAGTTCGACGAAGGGCCAGAGTTCACAAGAAGAATTTTTAAAGATTTCTGTGAACAATATGGTATTGAACTTCATGTCACCTCTTTTCAGCAATCCTCATGAATAACAAGTAATAAAGCTCTAGTCGAGACTGCTCGACTACGAGATCCCCTGAAACCTTCGAGCAATAGCTATTTCAATAATTTTTCACGTCTATCTTCTTACACAAGGCACACGCACACACACACAAGTCCCCAAACCTAAACACACATGGGCTGCAGTGTGCGCTTACTATGGGAACTTAATTGTTTGATTACTTTTCTTGTCGATGGACTATCTTCATGAAACTTTCAGATTATAAATATAACATAGACATGCATATATTTGTCAAAGCACAAGTCTCTCTCTGCTATTTGAAATACGCCTTTTACAAATCTTTGTCTTTCTACTTACACAAGACACACGCACACACATACACACGCATACACACCCACGCCTACACACATGGGCTGCAGTGTGCGCTTACTATAAGAACTTCATTGTTTAATAACTTTTCTTTTGGACGTACGATCTTCATGAAACTTTTATATTATGTTTATAACATGCATAACATAACATAACAAATATGCATGCATTTGCCAAAGCACAAGTCTCTAGTATTTAAAAATACGCCTTTCACAAATATGTGTATGAGGGGGTGGATCTAGGAGTGGGGGGTAAATTTTAACTAAAACCGAAATTGTATAAATTGCATATAAATCAACATTATACATTAATTTGGAGACTTTAGCTTTAAAGTTGTAGGAGATATAATTTAATAACTGATTTTCGATATGGGTTTTTATCGATAAAAAATATCGGGAGTAATTATCGATTTTTAAAACAAAACTCGATATCCGCGTGGTATACACGGACATTTTACAAAAAAAATTGTATCTTCTGACGCTAGATTTACTATTGTACATGTGTATATACCATAATCAGTACGAGTTAATCATTCATTTATATCCCATTAGTTTGTGATCAATGAAAATCGATAGTTTGGAATCGTTTTTTAAGCATTATTTGAATACACTTACACATAGAGAAATTTCTGGGTTGGTCCAGGTAATGAATGCAAAGATTTTAATACAAATTTTAAAGAGTATTTGAATTGAAGAGAATTGTGTTAGCAAATACACACATTTTAATTTTATTATCATGTTTTGAAAGTTTGTGAAGATATATGATTCTATTAAATTTGATCAAAAATCAATAATAAGTAATAAAGGAGAGTTAATAAACCCTAGCAATCTAAGAACCTAATGACTCCGCCAATCAACAATATATTTACCTGAATGGTACTTGTGTAATATGCTGCAATGACAACGAATATATGGCGATGGCCACTGCACGTTCTCCACCAGATTGTATATATTTGTCCAGAGTTTGTAATTTTGCGTCCTTTCTATATTTGACCATTATTTGAATTCCATAAGAATCAAAATCGCTCTGAAAATTGAATATAATAAACAGATATTTTACCATCCCATTGTATATAGTTTATATGTTTAATATATACTGTAAAAATTCAAAATTTCAGTTATACGATACATAGTGAAATACAAAGTAGATGTAGTAGTAGTAGAAATACAAAGTAGATGTAGTAGATCACTTGTTAATACCTTATCCTTTCTCGATAAAACCACTTCGCCAACATACGATAAAGACTCCATAAACTCACTGAACTTATTGTTTATTGTCTCAATCAATTTTGTGAGTTGTGGTTCCCACTTGTTGTATAAAGTAATCATTACAGCATCTAAATTTTTTTCTTGGGTTGATTTGGCTTCAATTGTTTTCCTTAGTTCCTCAACCTCAGCTTGGCGATGTCGAAACTCCGCAATTGCCTGTAATACCTTAACATTTATAAATTGATTTAAATTTTAAACACTTTTCAAATATCACCTCTGAATTTAAATTTTTCATACAATCTAATCTAGCTTGATAGTCAAGAATCGCTTCATAAATCTGTTCTACGGTAAGATTTCTTATCTTATCAAAATCAGTTTTAAATGGAAAATCATTATTTGATGGTAGATTTCCATTGCAGAGGCACCGCAATTCCACAGCTTTTGAGTTGATTTGTTGTGATGTAATTTGTACTACCCCTGTCAACCTGTTGACTAATGTCTGAAATACAAATTGATAAATTTACATGTTTATTTATTTATTTTGTTTATGTAAATACAATACCACGTACAGAGGCTTTTGAGAACTGATCTTCCCTCTCCTTTAGCTTATTAATTTGAGACGCATGCTGTTGTAAATGAGCCCTTTCCAATATATGATTAACTTTCCTTCCTTCAATTAATTTATCAGTAAGCTTTAACGACTTAAGTAAGTTTTGCTCGATTTCAAAAATTTTTCTGAAATCCGATAACATAGTGATTTGAAATTTTTGTTTGATCTGATCTAAAGCTAAATAGAAGAAATACATTCAACAAATTTTACCAAATTTTCCTTTATATACTTACAAGCAAATGATTGATTGACAGTGTTCACTTTTGACTGGAGCTTTTTTATTTCATCGGTCAAATTACTAAAATGAGATAATTTCTGTTCAATTTTTTTTTTTTCATCTCCTTCTTGGCGGAGAACAATTTGCAGGCGATCGAATTCATTATCAATGTCTTTTAAAGTGTTCCTGATTTTATCCTTCTCTAATATAGCCTTCGCATGTCTGAAAGAGTTTTATATTTATATAATTACTAGTTGACCCGGCGAACTTCGTACCGACTAACAGTCTCTATATATATGAAACAAAGTCGGGTTTGTTCAAACACTTATAACTGGAGATCTGCTGGACCAATTTTCATGGTTTTTGATTTGTTGGATTTGTCTCCGCCCCGAATAGAAGAATATATCTTCAAAATACTGAAAAATTTACGAATACTTGAAAATGCGTTATTTTCCCTAAAAGTTCTTTAGTTTCGGAGCTGTCAAATTTTGTTATCAAAATCAGTAAGTAATGTCGTGTTACCTTTTAGTTGAAATAATGTAGGCTTTGATGAACGTAGTACAATAATAGAATAATAGATAGAAATATAAAAAAAAAAAAAAAACAAGTAAGAACGTTGCAGTCGGGCGATACCGATTGCAGAATACTCATTCACAGCCCAAACGCTGTCAACCAGGGTAAATAGTGAAATTTTCAAGTCTAGTACGCAACAAAAAACGGCATGATCACATTAAAATTCGAAATTCGCTCGATTCGTCAACAGGAACACGACCATTACCGATATTCAGCAATTGCTTCGATAAATCATCAGCAGATAGATCCTTCAACAATGCAACTTTCATATTTACAGACAGCTGAAGTTTGTTTACATATCGCCACAGATTTGATGCTTTGAGCAAGCGTTTATTTCGTCGGCAGCAGTAAATCTTGGAATTACTGTCGGAAATCTCCAGACAATAAAATCATTGAACCGCCAAAACATCTCGAGTCATTGCGCAGATCTTTTAATGTTCGGTCTAGTGCATCCCGGCAAACGTTGCTTTGCCCTATCCATTATTTCTAGGGAACGAAGCCGTGCAATGGTTCCGGCGGTGTTTCGATTTCCGGGGGTTTTACTTTTCCTGATGAGCAACACATCCCGATCGGCTCATTTTTAAATTTAAAGGCATGGCAGTGCAGGCATTCCTTGTCCAATGTACCAATGACCACTTTGGAATGAGCGTAATATTCAACATCAGGCTCATACTGAACTGCTAGGTGAAGAAGTGTGCTGTCAATTCCTCTACATCTGTTCACTACGAATCAGCGCGCTTGTCTTCGTTCTAATTGTCTTTGCTGGTTTCCCTCATCTCTTGCCTCTTGCAATTGTGAAGCACGTAACTGCGCCATGCATACACGGACATCTGCATTGCTTTGTTGCCTTTCTTCATCTGATCTTTGTGCTCTTCTATCTTGCATGCCTCTAGATTTGAGTGTTCTACGACTCAAATTAGCCTCCGTGGCATTGTTGTCTGCTAATCAAACATAAATTAATCAAGTTGAAAAACTGTTTGGTGATAAACAGTAACGTAACATCGTATTCGATTGCTCATTATTTGCCTTACCTTATATACTAATAAAACACGTATATTTGTTAATCACGTTCGCGTATTAATAAAATATGCATGAATAATTCTTTTGCATGAGAACATGACTGTCACTGTTATCAAGCCTACTGAGTAAATTCTCAATGACAATGCAAAGATCCTCAATAGCCATAGGGAAAAAACGCATTTTTCAAGTATTTGTCAATTTTTCTGTATTTTTAAGAGGCGGAGACAAATCCAACAAATCAAAAACCATGAAAATTGGTCCAGCAGATCTCGAGTTATAAGTGTTTGAACAAACCCGACTTTGTTTTATATATATAGATTATAGATTATATATATAAAATTATTATTGTGTATTTATTAAATTATTATTCTACTATTAATTAATTACATTAAATTATTAAGGCACTACAAACTAATACATAAAATATATTATGATGAACAAATAATAGTGGTACTGACTCGTTTGGGCTCGGTGAAAAAATAAGTTTTTATACCCTAAACTCATTGAAAATGGGAAATCAGGGTATAATGGATTTGTTAAAATGTATGTAACAGGGAGAAGGAGGCGCGGCAGACCCTATAAAGTATATACATATATGATAAGAGCGACGAGCTGAGTGGATATTAGAGACCTACACGAATGCATTTGAAACGCTAAACGACACACTCGTGTTTTGTTAGTTCACCGTCTCGTTTTTTTTCAAATAGTGTAAGCTCAAGCATCGCGGACGAATGAAACAAAACGAGCTATGCTTACATACCGAAAAGTTCGGTATGCAAATGGCTGTAAAATAAAGAAGCAACGAACGAAAGAAACGATAAGCATCATTCAAGTTTTGTTTTCGTTTTAGCTATTTCCATCTTAGACTATTTCAAGCTAGATTTAGCATATTACTATTGAATACACAAACACATAAATATTTAGAAATACAAAGAATAATAAGATTTTATCCATATAAACGTAACTTTATAAACTTAGCCATTAAAGGATTTTAGTATATATTTATATATATATATATATATATATATATATATAGTAATATATCCATCAGCGCTCACCCACACTTAAACACAACACCAAAGCCACGATCCCCTTCATCACTCAACATAAACAAATCGCCCTAGCGACTGCTCATAAACAAATCGCCCAAGCGTCCACTCAGAAACAAATCGTCCCAGCGTCCACTTAGAAACAAATCGTCTCAGCGTCGACTTAGAAACAATCATCGCATCGTCCACTCATATAAACAAGTCACACTCCAACGCACTCCAACCCTTCTCGTGGGAACTGCATATTCAGCATATTTGGGAGTCACCAATCAGGAGCGATCAGGCCACTCACTTTACCAAAATCACACCACCATCGATATACATTTCTAGCTATATAAGACAAACAAATTTTCAATCATCAGTTCAGTTTCAATTCAGATCTAAGACCACTCTTACATCGCGTAAGAATAATTGTACTCCGTTATAAGTTTTTAAGAATAAATATTTTTTTTATTCAAACCATAACGTCGGTTTTATTATTGGCGCAGCCGGTAGGATTGGTTTGGTGAATAATTAAGATCATCATTCTAATCCGCTAAAGTACTACGTGACCTCTCGCGTGTGCATCCAGACTTCTAGTTGAAATATAGACCCGCAGGACTATTTAGAAGTTCTGCGTAGTGGAAATCAACCACTTCATAACATTTGTGTCCGGGACTTACATATCTCTCGATCCCAACAAGTTAAGCGTTATATCAAAAAAATTAACAACCCGTTCAACTATAAACGATTAATCCAATTACGTGAAATAATCGAGTGAACGAACAATTCAATCACAATTAAATGCCAACTGTGTGCAAGTTAAAAGAGAATTAACAAAACCAAAAACTGTTCAACTAACAACGATTGATCCAATTAAGAGAAACAATGAAAATAACAGAAACCCACTCACAATTTCGTGCCAATTGTGTTTAACTTAATAGTGAGCAAACTATTTAAAAACTCTCAAGCAAACAAGTGCTTAAGAACTAATTAAACGGCTCCACCATGACTCTGGAATTGTCGGAGACCCACCTCAATCAGGCCCTAACTCCAGGGCTGCCAGTTTAGCAATTTAGTTGCTAGATCTGGCAACTTTTAAAAACATTTGGCAACTTTTTTTTTAAAATGCTATTAGCCACAAATCTAGCAATTTTAAATATTTTTTTTTAGCAATTTTAGCAATTTTATTATAAAACAAGTAAGAAAGCTCTAGTCGAGACTGCTAGACTACGAGATCCCCTGAACCTTTGGAGTAATAGCTATTTCAATAATTTTTCGGGTCTTTCAGCTTACACAAGAAACACACACACACACACACACACACACACACACACACGCACACACAGGCATACATACATACACATAAACATTTACACGCACATACACAAACACATACACCCACAAGCATAAACACGCATGGGCGCCAATGAGCGCTTACTATCAGAACTTAATTGCTTAATAACTTTTTTGTGGACGTACGATCTTCATGAAAGTTTCAGATTATGATTATAATATGAATATGCATGTAATTGCCAAAGCACAAGTCTCTAGTATTTGAAATACGCCTTTTACAAATGTGAGGGTGAGGGGGTGAATATAGGGGTGAAGGGTAAATTTTAACAAAAACCGAAATTGTATAAATTGCATATAGGCATACATTAAAAATTTGGAGACTCTAGCAATAAAGGTGTAGAAGATATAATTTTATTACTGGTTTGTCGATAAAAAAAGATCGGGATGAGTTATCGATTTTTAATGATAAACTTGACATCCGCGCTGTAATTACGAACATAAAAAAAAAATTGAAGTCTCTAGCTTTTTTATCTTCGAAAATCGCCGCGTTCAAACATACGGACAGACGGACGGACAGGGCCAAATCAACCCAGCTCGTCGCCCTGATCAAGAATATATATACTTTGTGAGGTCTGCTACGCCTCCTTCTGCCTGTTACATACATTTCAACAAAACCATTATACCCTGATTTCCCATTGAAAATAGGTTCAGGGTATAAATAGCAATTTTCATACTGTGGTTCAGGGTTTTTTCATTTTGTTTACCTTTTTGTCGACTGCGAAATTCCGATTAATGGTGGTTCGGAACTTGTATTTGACTCAGTGGTTCGATGACATATACAACGATTACGCTTTACATTTGAAAAGTGACGGTGATTGAAACAAGATGTCGAAAATTTATAAACGAGATGCCTGGCTGCAGGATGACGAATTTAAGCTATGGATTCGTAAGGATATCACCGATTCAACGCGAGCTTTGCATATTGCAAATCCTCAATTGGCGCAAAGCTTTTTGACATCCGCCAGCACGATGCCTCCAAAAAACATGTGGCTGTGATGGGCGCAGTTACCCAAAAAAATAAGTTGCCTTTCGTTCGTAAGTCGACCAAAACGGAGGAACAGGAAGCAGCTTTATGCCTACATATTGCCAAACACACTGCGATTGCAACAAGTGATCACTTGTCAAAGTTGTGTGTGGAGCAGTTTTCAGCTTGCAAAGCTGCTGCAAATATCAAATTAGGTCGAACAAAATGCACCTACAATATTAAACATGTACTCGCAGTGCATTTCATGGACGACTTGCGAA